ACAGAATGAAGAGGATAAACAAGAGACACGGGTGAATGTAATTTGTAAGTAGCTGTCAGTGTATTCATACTAATTCTCGTTTAGTGAACTTGTATGGAGTTCAAAGAGATATGTCTAAAATATTGATAGTTTTATTAGGGTATTTTTTTAATTTATTTGAGATATTAGGGTTTGAAATTATGCATCAACTATTACGCCCTGATAAGCTTTGGTAGTTTATAATTTCGTCCTACACACACGCTATGGACAGATATTTTTGCATATGCTTGATCATATTGGTTTTTCAGAGCTTTATTTGTTGAAGATTTTGCGAAAATTTATAATTTTATTTTGGCCTTTAGCGTAAACAAAGAATACGTTGTTTCAAGTATACAATGTAGACACATTTTGTAAAAATTAAAATAACCACATTAATTTGTAAGAACAACAAAAGGGGCATAGTTATCAAGACAGATAAAAAATAAACGGTTAAGAATATTGTATTTTCTATTTTATTTTGGAAGTAGAACGTAATTATCATATAATTTCATACATGGAGGACAACATTTAAAACTGAAATATTTTTTAAAAACTTTTTTGAATATATTATAATATAGTGTTATGTATTTAGCTTATTAATACATTTTTTAAAAAATTGGAATATTTTACAGGTAAACCAAAGTTTACAGCCAATACACCCAAATATTTTAATCTAATCGATCATGAGATGCTACTTCATATCGATTGTACTTTAACCGTCAACCCAATCATAACAGATATATGGTTTATCCAAAATGGCATTAGGGACGGCATAGAAAAGTTCTTCGATAAAGAGAAGATGAAAAGTATGCAGATAGAATCCAAATGGAACATAACGTTAGCTATATACCAAAAGTTCCGAATGGTTCTAAACATAGAGCAGTTTGAAAAAAGGTCTAAACTGGTGATAAGATTCAACAACAGATATGGCTTTGTCGATCACGTGATATTTCAGGGAGGTATCACTTTTTATACACTTTTTATACACTTTTATACACTTTTTTATACAATTTTTATACACTTTATACACTTTTTATACACTTTTTATACACTTTATACACTTTTTATACACTTTTTATACACTTTTTATACTTTTTATACACTTTTTATACACTTTTTATACACTTTTTATACACTTTTTAAAAGTTGTTATTCAACTTTTTCTTGTGCTTTTGTCGTCCGTCACAGAAACTGTTGATGGGTCGTTCATAAATGACCTCACACTGTAAATGGGGGGGGGGGGGGGGGGGGGTTAAGTAATTTTGTGACGGTATGTGATGAGGGGGAGGGGGTTCAGATGGTGTAACGTCACACTTTTTGCATTGTAAAAAAAACAACGTTAGAAAACGAATTTTACCCGTTATTTTGCGTTTTAGAACACTGTTTTAATAAATTGTAATAGGAATTGATTAAAATATTCTATGTTGAAAGAGTTCTGACAAGATTTTGGAGAAATATGGATGTTTTAAGAAAAATTCAACTGCGATTGTGAGGGGGGGGGGGGGTTGTAGGCTGAGGTGCGACGTCATTTTGGGGAGGGGGTCTGGCTTTTTGCGACGATGTGTGACTGAAGGGGGGGGGGGCGTAAAAAGCGTCTCAAAAAAGCGTGACGTCCTTTAAGGATGACCCCCTAAAAGCAATTGCCTGTAGGAAAGCGTACCTTGCATGAAACAAATCAAGTTTGTTAGCCCTGTGTTCTGTATTATTCAAGTATTGGTGAAAACTGTTTTCATTACAACAGTGGTTCTTAACCTGGGCTAGATCGAACCCCATCGATGAGTCAGTCTCAACAGTTCAGCGGAAGTCAAGACACACCCGACTAATTCACGGCTAAATTTTGTCGATGCGGACGATAGAATTAGTAAGAAGGGTTCGGTGAATGCGTACATATGAAACTGGTGGGGTTCGGTACAGCCAAAAAGAAACACCGCATTAGAATAAGAAATCGATAGTTGTATGAAAGTTTCATCCAAATGCATTACAATTTCTCCTATTGTTTTTGTAATGATGTTTACACGATAGCCTACTTGATAATATAAATATATATATATATATATATATATATATATATATATATATATATATATATATATATATATATATATATATATATATTGCAGATAACACAGCAGAGAAAAAGAGGGATCTTGTATTGCTTTCTGGAGCAACTTTTTTCTTGCTTATATTGATTATCGTACTTATTATTTTATATATTAGAAGAAGTAAGTTTTTAATTGTTTAGAAATATAAATAATGAACTTATTGGTGGTATCTATGGACAGTTTATGACCCGAAAATGTCTACTGTCCCCCCCCCCCCCCCCCCCCCCCCCCCCCGAACGAAATAGAATTTATATAGAAAATATATACTTTTACCAGTGTCCGCGCCCCCCCCCCCCACCCCCACCGGAAAATTTAAAGTTTCCGCCCACACGGAGAAAAAAGTCTGGAAGAAACACTGTTTAATAAAGATGTTCTAATTAGCGTGTTATCTTCACAGATACACTGAGATAATGAGAGGTCATCTATGTGTTGTTTGGCCATTTCGTGTCCCATGCGTTGTGTGTGTGCGTGCGTGCACGCGTATATGCGTGAGTGTGTATGTAGGGAGGGAGGGGGAGGGTAAGAAAAAAGTAAGAATCACTCCTTTTGGTCCTACACCCGGGTTGTCCAAATATAAGATAAACCAAGTCAGATGCACTGTTAAAGTAAGGAATACTACATAGGCCTAATGCGATTGTTTCAGTAAGAATATTACAAAACGATTGTTCTAGTATGAATATTACAAAACGATTGATTCTAGTATGAATATTACAAAACGATTGTTCTAGTATGAATATTACAAAACGATTGTTTCATTAAGAATATTACAAAACGATTTTATTAGTAAGAATATTACAAAACGATTGTTTCAGTGATGTGTGGGTCTACCGACTTGAAAACTTATGAGGAGCAACAGGGTTATCGGGAAGGCGACATACCGCCTTCTGACCACTATGACGTCATACGGGACTGTGACGTAGACCTAGTTGGATATGATTCCTTACATGGACAGAAGCAGGACGCTATTGGAGAATCAGTTTACCCAAAGTTGATCAACAGTGTTGATGAGGAAACACATCTTTAGTTGATTTTTCTTGTGTTGCCTATTTTTTCAACATACAATTAGATTTTTAAAAATAATGTTGTTTTCTCATTAGTTTAATATATATATATATATATATATATATATATATATATATATATATATATATATATATATATATATATATCTTATGTAAATATTTCAAATAATTAATATTTAATACATTTAAATTAAAGCTTTTGGAATCACAGAAAATATATTACCTTTCACATGGATTTCATTAATAGGTCTACTTTCTATAATATAAGACCTATGTTTATTTTTCATCATTAAGCGCCCAGGCTTTAATGTTAGTTATGCCAGCGTATAGCTTTAGTAAGGTTACAGAAAACTAAATTATTATTTTTTTACGTTTTAGAGGATTTTCATTTGTATTTTTTTTTTTTGCGATTTGTCAATAAAATAAAAGTCTTTTGTCTTAAATTGTTTATTTTTTATTTGAGTTTTATTTACTGTGTTGCTTTAAGTATCGCTTATTACTTTATTTAAAAAAAAAATTAAAACACAACAACATCACTTTTTATTCAAACTTATACTTTTATTTGTGAGACAGAAGAAATTTCCTATTATTATCTATTTTAAATTTTTTACTTTTTGCGTAATCGTCGATTTCGTCGAATTTTACAAAATCATTACCTAAATAAATAAATAAAACAGTTCAAGAAATAAAATAAAAAATACCCAACACGATACATTTTTTAAAAATGTGTAAAGTTGACAATGATGTTTCTTGCAACGGAATGAGGGGCAGTGTTTCTTCCAGACTTTTTTCTCCGGGGCGGGGGGTGGGGGGGGGGGGGCACTTAAAATTTCCGGAGGGGGGGGGGGAACGGGGACGGGGGGGACACACTATTAAAAGTATATATTTCCTATATAAATTCCATTTCGTTCGGGGGGGGGGGGGGGGCGGTAGACTTTCACGGGTGTGGGGGGGGGGGGGGGGCGCAGAGGGGTAGGACTTAAGTTTCCGGGGGAGTGGCGGATACTGAAGTAAATATTTCGTTTATAAATTCTATTTCGTTCGGTGAGTGTGAGTTAGGACTGGGGGGGGGGAGCACTTCATCACCGAGGTCGTCTTTATTAGATTGTAAAACAATAATTTTTACGCTGTTTCAAATTAGAAAAGGCGAATAGGAGCTTCGTAAAATTCTTCTTTCCGCTCTTATTGATTTACTGGTACAAATAAAGAAAAATGATTGGGGTCAAATTTTCATTTTTCTGAAACGAAAGTGAAATTGAACTTTTAACTCAACCCGGAAGCGTTAATAAAAAAAAACAGCACACACACCCTAGTTACTATAAATAGGCTACGCCCTCCGTTAAATGGAAGAGAAGCTACTCTTGCAAACAATAACAAAAACAATTTAACTCTCACCCGAAGAGATGCCTGGAAGAATTTCTGGTTGTACGACTTGCATAAGCAATCGTAAAAACAAAACAAAAACATGTTTCACTTGACCCGGAGTCTGCCAGAGTTTCTTTCAGACACTTTTCCAGGGGGGGGGGGGGATTACCGAGAAACACTAGTTAAAGCAGACACCTTTCGTCTGTTAATGTGCTATTTAGCGGAATTGATCCAGCCTTATTCTAGATGAATTAGTTCTAAATCTCATTTATGGATGATCCATGATTGTTAAAATAAAAACATTTGTTTCATTAGATTATTTTGCTGTCCTAATTTTAAAATAGTCTAGATATCGGGAATTCCCCAAAGTCTCGGCTGATCTCGTAGAAAGCTAAGCGCATGCGCAGTGCAACGCTATGTGTATAAAAACTGATCCCCGCGAATCCTACTTTCACTTTTCCTTTTAAGCCTAACAACAAGTACTAGGGATCTAACAACTTTTCGCCTATATCTACTCTAGGTCTGTAGATTCTAGGTCTAATCTAGATCTAGAGTCTAGGTAGATTTGTCATTTGTTTTGGAACACATTAATCGTTGATTTCGTCAACATGTCACTCCATGTCAATGACAGATTCTCTACTTGGGAGGATTTCTTCCGCGCCGTCGAGGCTTATTGCGATGAAACACACCAGCCCATGGTGAAAAAATCTTCCAAAAAATACATCCCAGATCCTAATGAAGAAGGCCAAACCAAGTACCCAGCCATGCTTTATACGTATTATACCTATAAATGCACACATCACGGCATCTTTAAACCACGGGGAGAGGGTAAAAGAAAAACAGCGTAAGCATTGTTTAGTTCTGAGAGCTCTATTCTTATATTAATATATTTTATATCATTTCTATGATCTACCTACACTCTACAGTTACCGTTAACACTCACAGTAACTTGTTTATTTGCCAGTTTGGATTTGGTAGAAGTAGAACAACTATCATTATCTATTCCAATAGATAGAATCTAGATCTAGACATATCAATCATAGTTTTCAAAGGCAAAGGTCATAGATGGACTAGGTAACTAGATCTAGATCTAGCTAGATCTAGAATTTAATTAGATTCTTCATCATTGTAAGTATTAACTATATTAACTAGTGTATAGGCCCATAATTGTAATAAATTAGCCAAACTAATTAGCCTTTAATTAAGATCATAGCCTAACTAGGCCCCTATATGACAGAAATAATAATTGTTTCTATTAGGTAGGGGCCTATAGTACATTTAAAAAAAAAATTATTACAATGATTAGGCATATAATAATTACATGAATGATTAAAAAAAGCTAATTACATTAATTTTCTAATACATTTTAATAGGCCTAAATGTCAGTACATTTACAAAAGAAAATGTTATATATAAGGGATCAGGTAATATTGGCAATGTCAAGATGTTCTAAACTAAAAGAAATTTTCTATAGGCCTAAGTATTATAAGAGTATAACCACCTTCATCTTCCTTTGGAAAAACACAATGAATTGAATGTAACCAGAAAACAAACTATACTTAGGCATAGGACTACTCTTATTTGAACTAATTCTTATTAAAGATGCAGACCATTTATAATTTAAAATTACTCGAATAACCTTTTAAAAATTAAAACGGTACAATTAATCAATTTAAGCATAAAAAATAAAATAGCCTTGTACTAGGCCGACATGATTTGTATGTCTGCTATTTCTGACAGATGATTAAATTAGTAAAATTAAAAAACATCAACCTAACTAGATTTGATTATTTTTTTCCATACTTTGACACCTTATTAATTAACCGGTTGTATAGAGATCAAAGATGATTTTTATCTAAAAGTTGACAATTTTATACATATGTTTGCATTGGAACAAGAACAAATGAAATTGATGCAAATACACCCATAGTAAACATTCCTGTTGGTCTACATAATAATTTTATCAACTTGAATTTTTTTTTTAAGAGAATGATGGTCTTATTTGGGGACCATTTAACATGAACCATTGCATAAATGGCAAATGCCTTACCAAAAAAGTAAATTTTACTAATTTAAATTTATTTTACTAAACTAACTTTAAAGTTTGTTTTAAAAAATGTTATAGAAAAGGGATCAGGTAATATTGGCAATGTCAAAAAATCCTAAAGAAATATTTTCTGAAAATCTATGTATATAATTCTCTTCTTCGAGCCGTTAGAAAACAAGCCGCAAACGCTCTCCCTACCTCCCCACCCCTACATGGTTTTAGTGAGCTGTGTTCACTCTAAATGTTTACAAGCAGAGCCAACGATTTTAAACGTAGGGGGGGGGGATTATGGTCCTTAACGAGCTACTTATAGTGTTTTAAAGAAATATTTTCAGTGTCAGCGTTGGTACTGTCGAATTCACAAATTATGAATTATTGAAAATTAGAAACAACTAAATAGCGGCGTATGTTATGCCGCGGGCCGGCTCGTATCTATATAATTCTCTTCTGGGAGACACTAGAAAACAAGCTGTAAACGCGCTCCCTACCATCCCCACCCCTACATGGTCTTAGTGAGCTGTGGCTCACGTTATGTTTACCTTCGTGGAGTCGGGTTTAGTGACGGCTATTAGGGGCAGATAATTTAGTTTGAAACGATTTTAAACGTGGGGGGGGGGGGGGGTTTATGGTCCTTAACGAGCTACTTATAGTGTTTTAAAGAAATATTTTCAGTGTCAGCGTTGGTACTGTCGAATTCACAAATTATGAATTACTGAAAAGTAGAAAAAACAACAACTAAATAGCGGCGTATGTTATGCCGCGGGCCGGCTCGTTATAAGATAATCAATCAATTCACTGTATTACATTTATCACTAATAGCAATAATTTCTAAAATCTAAATAGAGATTCTTGTGGCAAAACAGCAGTACCTACTTAATTTACTATCACTACACTTTATAACTTCCTCATACAAATTATTTGCAAAAAATAAGTATTCCTAAAATAATAGCTATTTGTGCTTCTAGAAACTGAACTTTGTATTTTAATTTTTTTTTACTCTGCTGTTTCATTGCTAAATGCACCAAATCCACAGATCATTAAGAGAAGATTGTAAAGCCAAAATTCATGCAAGTTTGACCAAAGACAAATCAGCCCTTGTTGTAAGAGAATTAATGGATACTCACAATCATCCAATTGGTAAGTGCTGATCTTTGTAATGCTTCAGTTTTAACCAAATATTACTTGCTGTTAATCACTACAACAAAGTATGGAGTAAAACTACATCTCCAGTCTCATGTTGAAGATTGAAGCAAACTTGCTGTAGGAGTCTATTTTCAGTAAATTCATGATACCATTACTAGGTTCCATAGTAAGTAAAGTTCCCTTTTCAAACCTGACGGCCTATAGGGCAAGTGAAGTAGAGTTCACTTGTTTCTGTGACCTCGGCATATGAAGATATAGTGTGGTCAGCACTATGCCCAGCTGCCTTTACTTTCCCTAATGTGAGTTAGGTACCCATTAGAGTTGGGTGGGCTCAGGGATGGTCTACTGACTTGGATCTGGATTCGAACTCGAGACTTACGGGTTAGCAGTCCAGCTCTCTACCGCTAGACCACTCCGTCCCCCTAGGTTCTATCATTATGGCTAAAAAGTGCTGGCCAGTGATTTCATTTTTAGGGTCCAGCCTGATGTTAAGAAATAAAATCCTAGTGTTGTTGTAAATAACTGCTTATATGTTCCTGAAGGACCACAGAAAGTGAAGCAAGGGCTTCTGATTTAAGTGGACCTAAATGAAGAGAGCCATCCAGAATCAGATCCGTTGGGATATTGCAGCCCTTTGCTCCCCAGGGGCCTTACAATTAACTGAGTTGTTGTAAAAAGTTTTGAACCTCATTGTTAGGATTGTTACATATAAGTATTTGCGTAGATTTAGAGTAGCGTCCCTTTTGTTTACATGTTTTCATTACCCTTCAAACAAAAGTCTATTTTAGTTATATTGAGATTAAAGAATGTAAATAAATAGTACACATAATTCTGTAGCATAGGAACGATTGGGATGGAAGTGACATTGCGCCGGAAACTTAAAGGCTAGGTAGGATATAACAAAATTTGGAGTTAGGAAAGATTGGAGGTCCATTCTCTAATAGGCAGCCAAGCTCTCGTCATACTTTTAACAACAAAGAAGTTAATTGTATACAGACTTTGTGTTGGTTTATTGTCGACCCTGTCCGCACATCACAACACTAATAGTCCATGTGACAAGAGAAGTAGAGTTTACCTGTTTCTGTGACCTCAGCAGACAAAGTGATAATGTGGTCAACTCTCTGATAACCGCCTTTACTTTCATTAACTTGCATCAGGTACGCATCAGAGCTGGTGGACTCAGGGACACTCTACGCCTTGAACCCAGATTCCAACTTGAGACTTTTGGAGTAACAGTCTTATACTTTAACAACCCTTTCCAATTGATTTGTAAAGTGGTTTTATTCAATTTTTTTACAGGAGAGGATTTGTACTGCAGGTACGCCCAAAACAGGAGACTTAACAAAGAAGAGAAACAACGGGTGGCGGAGCTGCACAGGCTCAATGTTCCAACCAAGCTGATAGTACAGGAAATCAGGTCTATGAATGGGAAACCTATCATGAAGCAGGACATTTGGAATGAGAGGATGAGATTAAAAAACCAGGTAATGTTGCGTAACTACGAGTATAATCCGAGTGGTCTAGCACTTGTTCAATTCTAAAATGAAGATGCTTGTTTGTAATTCAGACATACACAGTTCCACTTATTACAGCTGAAGTATAATTTGATTTTTTAATAACATTTGGCAGAAAAATACTTAGAAAGAAATTAATTTTTCTAATTAACTCATTTGCTACAAATGCGAAATACTCGTGTCGCTACTGATGCGACATGCCATCACTCCCTGTTACTTATTGTATTTCTTTCGCATTGTCATCATTGTGCAAAAAGTACTTCTACACTATTCATGCTCAAGATTTTTCCAAGTCTAAATTGTGGCACTATTTATTATTTATTTATTCCAAGTTTATATCTAGACAAATTTTGAGCTTAATTTCGCTCTTGGTTGCTTTGACGTTATCATAGTTTTTGTTTCAAAGAATCAGATAGTTAAATAGATTCTATATTATGTTTAATATTTAAGTTATTAAAATCAGCAATCAGAATGTATTGTAAAATTGTGTAATTGTTAAAAAGTATTAGTAATGTTTCATAGTTTCATCACTAAATTTGACCTGTAGATTTTTATAGAATAAATGCTGCTAGAAAAACTAATCAAATTATGTATTTCTTTGAGTTAAAACATTTCTTTATTTCTTGACTTCTTAAAAATGAAAATTATTTTTAAAAAAAATGAATTCAGCTCCATTGAATTGACTGACAATAAAATATATGTGCTCACATCTAGATTTGCTGAACTATATTTGTTATTTTATGTTACGATAATTTAATTTTTAAGTGATCACTTATCAGGATTCATTTTGAAAAACAAAATTCTCATAGTTTATTTTCCTCTAAAGAAATCATAAAAAAGTATTTTAATTGTTTTTAACAGAAGCATGTACCCTGCTTAAAATTTGTTTTGATTCAGTGGCTTTTGCTTTTAAAAACTGTAGTCCAATTATTGTATTTTTGTTTTTAAGGGCAAGTTTTCAACAGTTTGGCCTGATGAACAAAACAACATCCAGCTGGTAATGGACGTTGAGGACGAGGAGGCTCGTGAGAATAGGGCGAAGCTAGATAAAACCTTGAGCTGTTTGCTGATTAAATCTCTGTGTGATAATTTCTTTCAAAAGTTGGTTACATTAGGGGCCGATAGGCTAGGGTATTATGTTAGTTTGTTCCAGCAGTTTCAAGGTTTGTTGAATAGGGATATGAATTTTAAGATAGTTCCCGATGAACTTTCGTCAGCTGGCAGTAGCTGCGACACAGCGATTGTTAAAATAGAAAGTGTGAGTGTGGATAGTGTTGTGGATCAGATTGTCGTGGAGGGCCTCAATACGGTGCAGGAGTATGTTGTTGCTGATGTTACGGGTATAGATTGTGTTGGTGAGGTTGTATGCGACACAGCGGGTGGTTCGGATGCTGGTAAGCCGGTGCAGAAGGTTGCGAAGAAGAGGGGTCGGCCCAGGAAGATTGTGAATATAAACTGTGGTATATGTGGTTTGGAGGAACCTGATAAAAAGGTGGCTGTGTGGGTAGGGTGTGAAACCTGCGCTCGATGTTTTCATAGTGTGTGTTTGAGTGATGTTGATATAAGCAAAGGTTATGTCTGTGGTTATTGTAATAGAAAAAGAGCTAGAGCTAGTAATACTTAGTTAATCCTTTTTTTATGTTATGTTTGTTTTATTTTCCGACTGTATTTTTCGATCAAGTCTTCCATAGTATTTTATATTATTTTAAACTTTGTTATGTGCTGTGATTAATTTATTTGTCTAACAAAAAAAAATAATTTATAAATGCACCGCATTTTAACCTGGTTTAATACTTCAGCTCAATTTAGTTTTTTAAACAGCAGTTTTGGTTAAATACTATTTTTTTCAAATTTAACTTCTGGGCTTTTGGGTATGAAATTTTGTGTTCATCTTTTAAAAAAATATATACTGATTTTTAAAAAAATTAGATCTTTAGGCTAATTATTGCATTGAGGTAATTTTTATTTTTAAAAAATAGATAAATATAATTAAATATGTATGATGTTTATTGTGAATTCCTACTATGTTTATGGCATGTTGTGTGCTAAATTCTTTGTGTGTTGTTAAAACAGTTATTGTAGTATAAAGAGACTCTACACACCTCTAGATTCTGATGTCTTTATTCGATCAATCACTTTGTTACTCTTTAGATAATATTTGGCACCATAAAATCATTCTGTGGTTAAACATAATAAGTCAAGTCCCTTCTTGAACTTGATAGTCCATGAGGCAAGCGGAGTAGAGTTTGCCTGTTTCTGTGACCTCAGCATATGAAGAGATAGTGTGGTCAGCACTATGCCCAGCCGCCTTAACTTTCCATAACGTGAGTTAGGTACCCATCAGAGCTGGGTGGACTCAATACTGACTTCATTCAACCTTGAAATTTTCAGGTTAGCAGTCTAGCGCTCTACCCCTAGACCATACCATCCCATTATGGTTAAACATGGATTCATTAAAAGAAATGTATTGCCATACTTGGTAAATGAGAAATCCATTAGCAATATTATAAGTTATTACAACTAATATTTAGTTGTTTGGAGATGATAATAATGCTCCATAATTGTTCAATTGGCTCGTGTAATTCTATGTATATAACACTTCTATGTATACAACATTTCTATGTATATAACATTTTAAAACTGTTTTTGTAAATGAGATCAAATTAGTTTTAAATAAATTTTGCTGTGTATAAACACGTGATTATCAAATTTTTATTGTTTTTTTTTTTTAAATATTTGTAGTGTGAATTTTTATCTTTAATTTCTATAACTAATCACTCTTTGAAATAAAATAGCCATGACTTTATTTGGGTTTGACGTCATGTAGTCATAAAAATAAAGAAAAAAATACTAAAGAATTATTTACAATAATAAAAGCTGATAGTTGCACTGTACACAATTAAGTAGAACAAGCTTGCTTGCTTTAGTTAAAATATTGGGCAGCTAATGTGTTTACACACAATGAAGAGCAGTTTTGTTCTCAGCATCTTGGAAGATAAACACGCAACATAACCAGTGTACAGTTAAGTTTTCCATAGTTCCAAAATGCAAATGTATTTGAAGAAATTAAAAAGAAATTATGTTTTCTTTTAAAGTGCATGTATGAAGCCTTTTATAATATATATTTAATATTTTAAAAATTTTCATATAAGAAAATTTCACAACTAAAAAACATAAGCGCTAACTGAAAGCACTAAATGTGTGGAAAAGTACGACTACTTAATAAATCCATCATTTGATTACATTTAAAATAATATATTTTTAACATCTATGCAAAAATTCATGTCATCTTCATTAAGTATTATTAATTGAATTATTATCTGGGTTTCCAGTTTGAAATTAATCTGTTCCATGCTCACAAGATTACTTCAATGATAAAAAAAAAAGAATAAAGTTAAATAAAAGTGTTAAAAATGACTTATTTCATTACTGTATTAAAAAAAGAAATAAAAAATTTATGTAGCATTTTATAAACTAACAGAATTCTAAGGAATAAGTTTTTCTTTGCGCACTTAGAAAAACAACACGAAAAATTAATAAAGTCTCAGTTGTATTTTTTTAATGTGTTGCAGTTTGTGAAAAAAATTAAAAGCAAAAAAAAGAGTTTTAGGTTGTTTAATATTTTATTTTTGCAACACTTCCAGGACACATTCTCTTTTCACTGGCAAACAAACAACATAATTATTGATTCTACAAAAATGTAGTCATTTTGAATTTATGTGATCACATTAATAACAATTTTAGAGAAAAGTGAATATATAACTCCATCTGCGCCACTACAAGACCATTCATTTTTTTTAATTTAAAAGAATTTCTAAATTTAACTGCATTTTCAAAATATTTCTTAATTCAAATCAAATATTATAATTTAAGGAAAAAAACCTTTAGCGGTTGTGTGTATGGGCATAATATGACTAGTTTTTAGAAAATACACTGAATAGTTATCATTACAAAACATTAAGGAAACTAAAAATAGATATATCTAGCTATATATTACCAGAAACTTTATTATCTCTGACTACAGTTAAATTTAGTCAGCTAACAAAAAAATGTTTTATTTTATCGGATTTTACTAAGATTATCTTCAGTTGATACAGAAATATTTCATAGATTTTATTGTAACATTAGCCTACGTGTGGAACTTATTTTTAGATTTTTTTTTTTTTTTTTTTTTTTTTTTTTTGTGGTAAAAAAATAATCTTCTAAAAAAAGAATGAAAGTGTTACAACATTTTAAATGATATAGATCTAGATCTATATCGAATAAATATAAGTTTTTGGCTAAATGATATTTAATGTTGACTTAAATAAGAAAACAGAAGTAAAAAAACCACACATTAACGCAACAGCAATGCCTTAGCTTTCTTTAAAAAAATTCTAGGAATTCCCCATATTTTACTACAACAGTAATAGGCCATAATTTTCCCAGCGGATATATCCAAAAAACTTATTCATCATTTGTATTTGTCTTCATCATTATGGAAGACTGCAGAATGGTGGCATTTCAGTTCTGATATTTATGAAATAATATTTAAAAAAGAAATAACTTTTACTGTTTAATAAATAAATAAACACAGTGTTGTTAACTTCTGCGTCATAAACTTCATCCTGTGAATGGCAAGCAAATTCGGTAATTCAATTAAATTTTTGTTTAATGGCTTACAATAATGTTTAGAATCACCATGTTAAATTCGTACGGTTATCGTTCGATTTTATTTTCTGATATAGTGATACTAGTTATTGGATTTTGTGGGTATATCTAATAAAAATCTAGAATGTAAAATGCAATTTTTGGGTGAAAGTATAATACGTTTAAATGCCTTAATAACTGAAAAGTGACATATTCTAGTGTTAAGAATAATGTATTCGTGTTCCCTTTTCTCCTATATAGTAGAATAACGTTTTAATTGTTTCGATTATGTTCTAACGTCTAACGGTTCTTGTAAAAACTGTAAACACTTGTCAATGTTTCACATAAACATGAGCAAAACTGTGACTGTAAAAAAATAAGCCGGGAGTGATCTCCACTAAACTTTCTAGAAGTATATTATATAACACTGACTGGGATAACAAACGGGGTAAATAGACATGTATTTTTGAATTCAATTTCTAATTATTTAAACTTTTAAAAATAGAATAGAATTTCGTAAAAAAAAGAATTGCGCGCTATGTGAACAGCAAATAATGTGTGTATAATAGTGCGGAATATTAGTACTTTATAAATTGATATGCGTTTTTGAGAAATCGGAAATAGCTTAAAGTACCACTTCCTATCTATGGAAATAAATAAAAAATTTCCAGAAGGCAGAGAATTAATTATTTTACTTATATGGAAAAGTTCGTCTAACTATCTGAAACAGTACTCAAGTTATAGACTTTGTGGAAAAAAAGTAGAATAAGTTCCACTTTGAGAAAATATATATTTTTTTTTTACAGAAGCATTAATTGAAATTGACCAGGATGGAAATATACCAAATCTAACTGGGAATGGTATGATCAATACAAATCTTACACTAACAAACCAGCACACTGTTTTGGCAGATGTTTACACTGAAATGCCAGTGTCGACGGTATGTCTTGATGTTTCCCATTCAATGTTCTCAATTTCAATGTTGTGAATTTCATTATTTCATTGGTACACACATACACACACACATAAATACACACACATAAATACACACACATACTCACACGCGCTCGCACACACGTACACGCACTCACTCACACACATACTTTTGTTTTAAAGAGTGCGATAAGCTATTGCTATGGATACGATGGTTTACTGCAGTTGTTTACTGAACCGAATCAGGCGCGTCTTTCGGCGCCCCGGCAGGGTGCGATTTGTCGCCAGGGGTATCTTGTAAGCACTATGGCGTCGACTTTCGTTTTTTAGAGCCCCCTACAATATTGACACGGTGGCACTCGAAATTCGAAGTGTGTTCTTCCTCACTATTACAGAAGAGTGATTAGTGTACACGTAAAGCTTTCGTATAGCACGCCCTGTGGCGTGCTGGGCGGTAGTGCCAGTAAACCCGTGCCCCAAAAAAATTTATCCAAGAAATATAACGCATGCATTGTTTACATTTAAATAATCCAGTTTTAGAAAACAAGGCCACACGTCTAAGAAAATAGGATTGGTAACGCAATGATGCAACCATCTTAGAATATTGCGCCAGACTTTCTTTTGAGATCGCGGCAACACACGGGACGGGCACGCTAGTTATTAATAAATTATTTTAAAAAAATAAATAAATCACATCAACAACATAGTTGTGTTATCGTATTGATCATTGAGTTGCGAAAGTTGAAATGATTTTTAAAAAAGCTTTTTCCATAAAATTAACTACACTATGAACAATATTTCTTCTATATCTCTGGCTTTAAGGAGATCCAGCGCTTACGCGAAATCCACAAAGACCCAGAGTTGCCCTTAAATATCATTATGTGGATAAAAATTGGACACAATGACTACATACCATTGGCAGAGCACAAGCCAGTTTCCAGCTACTTGGTCAACACTATCCAAGACGTGGCATTTAAATTTACACGCAGATAAATTGAGTTTAATATGTTTTTTTAAAAATGTATGTTGAAAATTGTTTTTCCTTTTAAGTTTAGTTCTCCCTAAATCTCCATGACAAGATCTAAAAACAGCATTGCTAAAAATATTTAGACATTTTGGCCCTAAAAATCTGTTAATGTAAGTTTATATAACAGCATTTCTAAATAATGTAATGCTTCTTAAATTATTACTGCGGGGAAAAAAGGAAACAGAAAAAAAATATATTTTGAAACTAAACTATTAAAAAAATGACAAAATTGTTGTTAGGAGCAAAAATACCAAGATAATTTTTTTGTTAACGTACTCACATATTTGTTTGACTGTAAAAGTCTATGATAATTATAACTCCTTGGTTTGTTTTTGGTATGCGTTTCGATTTAACGACATATTTTAGTTAAGGTATTGTTATTTGCAATTCAGATACAGTTTATAAAATGGCTTCTCTTAAGAGACTTATTTTTCACAGTGTGATATTTTTGCTTTGATCTGTGATAATTTAGTATTTTTTATACTTTTATTGTCGGAATTATGGTTTTTTAGATTCAAAAGGCAGAGGACTATTTAAATTAACTGTGTAATTTATTCATGTAAACTTACATTCACGACTATATGTTATGGATTTTGCAATTGTTATATATATATATATATATATATATATATATATTTATTTATTTATTCCTTCATACAAATGTACACACACATACACACATATATATTTTTTGTTTCCACATTTTTCTTTAAATTTGTATGTACTTCTTCATAAATAAAATAAAATTATAGCTTACATTTCATTGATCAATTTAAATGAATTCACACAGAGGGGTAGCGACACATGACAACACCCGAGGCTAACTATCAATTTTTCGCCACAACTCCTACCCAGTTTATGTATAATTATTCAATGTGGCAATCCCCCCCCCCCACCTTCTTCTTATCAGTCACTATCCATACTGTAAATATTTTTATTTTGGTGTAACACAATTGATGTAAAAATAGTTAAATCAGTCGGTTAAGCCAACTAACGGTCTATTTTTTTTTAACTGTATAATTCATGAGTGCCGCTCAGAATAAGTTTCTCTTCTTTTTTATTTTGTTTTATTATTACACGATTTGTTTTATTATTACACGTCAGGGGCGGCCAACCTCCCCCATCTACTCTTCTGATTTCATTTTGTCCAATGATATATTATCTGGTAATATCAAATTTGATTATGACCCTATGTTCGCCTTGTGGGGAGCATACTCCCGTTTGTTAACAACAATGTCGTTTTTCGCCGAAAAAATTGTAAACGGTTGAATTTGACTTCAGCCTTTTTTTCTTTCAGGATTAGCTTATACAGCCTTTTATCTACCCAAAAACTTTTTAATTTCTTCAAGCAATACTCTGCTACCCTCAAATTATGTTATACGAGATTTGATTTTGTTTTATATCTGCCATGCTTATATTTTTGGAAACTTTTGTTTTTGTCGCTATTGTTTTTTTTTTGTTTATATATATTTTTTATTTTGTTATTCTTAGGTTAAGTGTGAACAAATTGACAATGGATCTACTATAGTTATAGTTTTTTTACACTTTAATTTTTATTTATTTAATGTGTTTTAAAAGTTGAGTTAATAATGGTTTTTACTTAAAAAAACAAAACAAAAAAAAACAATAGCACAAACAGTTTTGTTCAGTAAATGTGTACGAAAAATGTTTTTAACATTATTTTTAAAAGTAAAATTATTGATTAAAATAGAGTGATAATAAAAGCTTGTACATTTTAAAGTTTATTTTTTGTACAACTATAAATACTCAATTTGATTAAACTTGTGTATTTTTGAGTATTTTTTTACAATACCTAAGTGATGTATGAAGTTTAAAATATTTAAAATCTTTTTATTTCTTTCTGAAGTGCAATTTCAAAAGAAATTGTATTTTTACATTTTGGCTTTGAAAATGAATCACCCAACATAACCATTTTCATAATAAAAAGCTCTTAAATGCAATAAAAATAAATAAATCAACCTGGCTATCTTAAATTAAATATTTTTTTCATAATTATTCAAATGACTTAGGCCCCTATTTGTTTTAAGTTTATTTTATTTTCTTCTTTTCAGAACTAGAACTGGACCACGACTTTGATCTTGACACTGATTCACTCGTAGAGTTGGATTAGAATTTTATTACATTATTTTTTAAATATCTCGATGATCATTGAATAGGTTAAAATATAAAGCACTAACAACAACAATAAAAAAGTTTCACAACAACAAACTAAACATGAATATAAAAAAAACAATATTAAGATTTGATCTTTTACTACACGTCACAAGTGTCCACAGGATTCTGTGTCTACAAAATTTATATTTTATTTTTGGCTAGTCCGAAATTTAACTGCGTGCTTGTTACTTAGCAAAGCAAGTGTGTTTACAAACAATGATTCACCATTTTTTTAGTTTAAGGCGATTTAAAGGGTAGTTTATGTAAGCAGTAAAAATAGAATCCCCGTAAAACTAAATTCTGGGAAGATTCTATGAATTCCCGATTTCATCTGTCTAAGAGCTACACACTTTAAAGGATATGGATAGTTGTCTATTTACATTCTAAACTTTGTTATTCTGAAAAATTTTAATAGGCAACAGGCGTTTTATTACGTTTCTTCTTATTTATTCAAGTAAACTTTTTATTTTTGTTGAAAAATTCGCATTGAATTTTTAAATCAGAAATTGAGCAATCTTTAATTACTTAAGTTTTTATTTTATCCAGCAGGTTACTTCAACATGGCAAGCAAATTAGGTAAACATGTATTTACTTCTTCTGTAATTTATTTTACTTAATGAATACTGTACCATATCGGGAAATCAGCATTCCTAATATTGGAACTTTCTGGATTTATGGTCTGAGTTCCCAATATCAAAATGGTGTGGGTTTATAGTGAAAGTTATCGCCAGTGTTTGTGTTTAGTCTGGTCTGTTTGCTTCTAAGTTCAAGTGTGTTTACTTTCACGATCAAGATTTAAGCTTTACATAATATGACTTAAGAACAAATTCACACACACACAAACACACACACACGCATGCACAGACACACACCACATACGCATACACAATAATTTTTAAATTCATGTTTATATGTTAATATCGGAGTGTGTATACATGTATGTGTTCACCTTCATTGTATTGTTGATTATCACTACGCATTTGTATTTTATGAAGAAAATTAAAAAAAAAACGAAATCAGTAGTTCATTTTAAAATAGTCTGTGTTTAAAGCTTTGTTTTATAACACAGTGGTAGCTAACACGTGCTTATTTATAAGCAGTGCATTGTTTACACACAGGTATGTAACATAATCTACTGCTCTACTTAGGCCTAATTCTCGCTGAAGATATTTTAACATTTGTATTGCTGATTCATCCGGTGCTGCTTAGTGTGACCAACGGTAGTGGAAATACAAATAGAAGTGCTTATATCCTCTCATAGGCTGTCGAGAAAATAAACACATTTTAAATATCCTCGCTTTGTTAATTAACAAAAAAATGACTGAGGTAATATTTAATCTGGTTAAAACCATTACTACTAATATTTTTGACTAACTCTCGCCCCAAAACTAACCCTAATAGCCTCTTTCCCTAACTAACACATAATGCGTTAGAATTCTATGATTAGTGCCATATCCACATTAAACAACAACAAAAAAATCCTAAAAAGTAGTAGGCCTACTATTTGAAATAAAGCAATCATTAGCTTATACATTCTAAAAATACGCATGCCTATAAATAGAAGCTAATGTAAATCACCGTTGAGACGAAATAAGCACGTTGTATATTTCATCGCCCTGAGACATTATAATTATAAACACTTTTGATTGAGCGGGTATTAGTTATAACATTAGAAATAAAACAAATATTTTAAAAAAAATCTTTTATTACACGCTTTAAAATACAGTGAAAATCTGAAAATAAAACAAACTTGCTTTCTTTACTAAAAGATTTGGTCGCTCATGAGATCGTTAACATAATATTAAAGGTTTTTTTAACATTGAAATTAAGTTTAATAATTTTAAGCCATAATAAATCTTTAAATTTCTTGATGTATACATTTTGAAATAAGAACTGTTATTTGATACTGAATTGGGAGCAGTATATATATATATATATAAAGTATGAGAGGGGTGCAAATCGAAAGTTTGAGGGGGGGGGGGGGGGGTGCAAATCGAAAGTTTGTCCCCGGGTAAAAATTGGACCCCCCCCCCCCCTTGAGACGATCCTGGCTACGCCACTGATTGGGAGTACCGTATGTTTTATGCTCTAGTTTTCAGGTTTTCATTGAGATGTTTGATGGAGTTTGTGAACGTTAGCGTTAGCAGTTTTCTGTGTCGCAATAACTACTGTAACAATAGCTTACAATGGTCGGTATTTCACATAAACATGTTCGTGTGTTAATTTCTTAAAAAGATGGATACTTAAATAAAACGAGTGATTTGTTTTTATTTAAATTAATACTGTGTAACCTAAGCTGCAACTAGAGGCATACATAGTAAGGGTCTGTATAAGTACATATAAAATTTCTATAATGACAATGTTTTAATAGAGGGGGTCGTAACGGTATGATGCCATTAGAATGTTTCGTTTGCCAAATCATTTTCTATTTTATTTTTTTTTTAAATTTTTTTATTTTTTTGGCCTCAGACATGTTATTTACAGCGTCAGTTGTGTGTTCGCTTTAGTATTACACTTTTTATCATCGGCTTGTGAGGACTGATACAGATTTACAATAGTAATATTTCTTTCTTACTTATAGCCTACTTTCATTCATTTTAGATGGTTTACTTATACATAGATCTAATACAAAACGTCTAAATATAAAACAAAATTAAAAAAAAAAAACACCTGAAAATGCAAATGTGTAATTAAATGATGATTCAAGGGATTTTTTTCGCTCGGCGTGGTGGGTGAGGGGGGGGGGGGGGGGGGGAATGGGTGGAATTTGGGTTTTTAAGTAGAGCTGAAATAAGTT